TGAGGCAACACAGAACCTGGTAACAGCTTAATCTTGTTCAGTAAGCTATTGGTTAACTATGCAGGTTAGCCTGAATACAGAAAAAGAGCACCTATGGAGTAGTTCACTTGTCATGATCATGTCTCACCCCTTTGGGAACAAGGAAGCAAAACCTGATTGCCTCATCAACAACTGAAGACTGCAGAACAAGAGAACCAAGCACATGGAGGGGTGGCATTAACTTCGAGAGTCTTGCAGAACGAAAGACCAAACCCCAGACATCTTCGTCAAATCCTTGTGTGGAGAATATTCTGGAAGAAACAAGGAGAAGACAGGGTTATGAGAATCTAATGGAGAACCTGACTCTCCATCTGTTGGCTATACAGGACACTCTCAGAATAAATTAGCTAAAGTGTTTTCTGACCAAGCTTAACTCACATCGATACCATTGCAGGTAAACACTCAGGATGATCATAGAAGCTAAAAGTGCAGTTATGAACTGCGAAAGAAGAGCTGTCAAAACCTTTTTTTTCAAAATTTGTTCGGGCATCAGGGTCCATGTACCACACCTACTTCCCTATCACCCTTAAAATCATCCCCAAAGATTCACTATTTCACTCCTTCCAACACTAGTGTATCTACAACTGGTTCCTCCTCTATTCCTATAGTATTTCCTTTTCTGACAAACCCTGTTTTCCTTCCACACACTGAAAACCCTATGTTTCATCACTCCTCTGACCTCATCAAGGAGCACTCAGTAGCTTTTCCTTCTCAAGCATCAAAAGTCTCTCAGGATGATCCTGATCAGTATCTGAACTCCCTAATGATGGACTTGGTGACACTCACAGAGTCACCAGAAAAGGAAGCAACGTATAACATCATGGCTATCGCTGCTGAGAGTCTGATAAATGAAGGAGCATATCTCTCATCTGAGTATCAGGGGGAAGAAACTCCTTTCCTTGGCAATGCAAGAACCATAGCATTCTTCGAGTCTCTGACTCATCAGACACTTCCAGCAATACCAGTTGAAGCACCTGATTCTTCTCCAGGTAAACATACTTCTGCTTCTCTTGATCACCCTAAGACCTTAGAATCCTTTCCGAGGGCACCCACTATCAGGTCACAGCAGAAAGAGAGTTGTGAGTTTATAGTACAGAAAAATAGTAGGAGTGTCAAGACAAGGAAAAAGAGGTCGATGAATCATGGGGAATTTATTACTGACAAGAGTGTTTCGGATAGTGGGACTGACAAAAATGCTCCAAAGGCACCTGGTTCCTTAGTGGATCAACCTATGAAAGCTTAAAAATGTGTGGATAAAGCTTTTGATAAAACTATCGAGAAACAAAATGGTGCATTAGTAAAGGGCAGCAACAAATCTAAAAGGAGTCAAGTAGAGAAAGCCATATCTGAAGATGATACTGAGGGGTTAGCAAACAGGAAAGGAAAATCTGTTGAAAGATCTAGAAAACGAAAACGGGAGACAGTTAGAGAACCTGTTACTCTGAGTACAATGTCCAGTGATAGAGGTCTTTGGCAGCAGAGACTAAGAACTCAAAAGGTCTTGTGGGGTCGTACATTTGACCCAGCAATTTCAGAGATGGCAGGTATGAGACAAATTCTGGAAATTGTTGAGTTTCAGCAATGGGAGCACTTGATTCAGGAAAGCATGCCTCTGGTGTACGAAGATGTAGTGCAGAGCTTCTACGCATCTCTCTTCACCGTTGAGAGGGATCACATTTGTGAGCTAGTAAATGGAGTAGACATTGTACTCGATGCTTCAGCGTTGGGAAAGATTCTCAGAATCCCATGTGAAGGGATGTCCTCAGTCAAAGGTGTTTATGGTGTCAACTTTAGGAAAGCAATCATGAAAGAGCAAGCTATTCAGCAGGGGGAACAGGTGCATAAGAAGGTATTACTTCCTGAATATCAGCTTCTCTTTGAATTGGTCAATAAGGTACTCTTACCTTGTTCTGAGAGGAGGTCTACTGCTGAAAACTCGGATATGGTCTTAATGGAATCGCTTGATGAGTTTGTCCCAATCAATCTGCCTGCAATCATGATAGACCACATGCAAAAGGTGGCAAACGTTAAAGGTGGAAATCATGGGTTACCATATGGATTTTTCCTCACTCAAGTGTTCAGATTCTACAAGGTCCCCTTGGGGAATCCCAGAATGGGCACACGCAAGCAAACCTTTTCTAAGACAACCTTAGAAGAATGTGAATGTGTAGAAAGAGTTGGTGGAAGCATCTCGACCATTTCTCAGCTGATCAACGCTCAAAATGTAGCTTCTGAAGAGATCAAAAGGTTGAGGGCTCAAAATGCCATACTGGAGACTCAGCTCAGTCAAGCAAGTAAAGGACCTGATTTTGTTAATGAAGCAGTTGCCCGACTGACAAAGGAGAATGATAAACTTCAGGCACAATTACTTGAAGAACAACTGACTGCAAATGCTCGACTGGACCTGGTTCTCCAAACCATTGCTGCCTCTTCTTCCAAGCCTTCTTCTTCTAGTGCCCCCTAGGATCCTATTCATGTCCAGCTATTTTTGCTCTAACACTTTGTGGCTGTTGCTTTCTTTCTGTTTGCCTTATTTTTGTGATGGCATGCTGGAATTCACCATTATTTCTCATGTCTTGCTTAGTCCATTGTTAATAGTAATGAAACAGCTCCTCTTTTTGTATGTACATTGTTGTTTTCCTCTGGCTTCTCATTTCTGTCATGATGTGTGCACATATGTGGCATGAGTTAGCTGCGTTAGACTTCTTTATGCTGATTATCTGATAGCGTTGCTTTTTAATGATGCCAAAAGGGGGAAGATTGATTAAGGGACCTGAGATTAAGGGGGAACTTGCATAGAGATTAAGGGGGAACTTGCGTAGACTTACGTAGTCCTGGTTTATCTGGTTGTTTGCTCTAATCAAATAATATCATCCACGCCTAAGTTTGTCATCATCAAAAAGGGGAAAATTGATGGGTTCTCAATGTCTTTGCCTTATGCTTCTGATGTTTTGATGATCTAACAAACTGTCGTGAAGAACCAGATAGAGAACCAGACCTACATTTCAACTGTCCTGATCCATGAACGACCTCAGGGAGGAACACAACAGGGACCTGGTGACTCGGTCCCTTAGAGTTCTCTGACAGATTTACAAGTCTGTAACTGCTCGCAATCATTACAAAGAGGAACACAACAGGGACCTAGTCTCTAAGGTTCCCTGGTAGAAGTACAAGTTAACTGAACAGCTGGAACGTAACAGTGGACAGTGACTATATCGCAAATTTTACAGAAGAGGAACACAACTGGGACCTGGTCCATTTGTGTTCTCTGACAGAAGTACAAGTCCACTATCCAGCTGGAACGCAACTGCACAAAAGTGACTGTGCAGACAGTGCAACAGTCACTTCTCACTGGGAAGAAGCGTACATCAAGAATTGACATCACTACCCATTGTGATATCTTTTGTAATATAAAACCTGGTGCAAGACACAACACCGGTGTGCATTCAATGATATTCTCTCAAGCATAACAGCGTTCATCTTGCATTGAAGTCACTGGTGTGTCAAGAACAAGAAGACAACTCCACTAAGGATCAGTTTCTTAATGAGTTTATGTACATCCGTAGTTGAGTTGTAATCTTGTTATTTGCTCATCATTGTATTTCCTAGTTTGTTTTCTTAGAAGCTTTGTCTTAGGAACAAACCAAAATTCGTAAACTCCCTGAGTTTATGTTGTGGCTAGGTTTAGTCATAAGCAAAATCCTTTGTAACCGGAGAGTGGAAACATCACAAGTTAGTCAAAGCCCTTGTAACTAGGATAGTTATAGAGTGGCTTGTGATGAGAGCATCACAAGTTAGTTGAAGTCTTTGCAATAAGGTTATTGTAAAGTGGCTTGTAATAGGGAGATTGCAAGTTAGTGAAGTTAAAAGCCTACAAGAGTAGGTCGTGGTTTTTTGATCCCCTTGTGTGAGATTTTTCCACGTAAAAATCCCTTGTCCTCTTTACTTCCAGTATTCATAGCATTCTCAGCATCATCTCATATAGGACCAGGTACTCTATAGTTTGGTGGAGTCATATAAACTAACAATACTAGTAGTGGACAATGCAAAGTTTGGTGTTATTGATTGAACAATTGGAATTTTTGAGTTTGCGAATTCAATATTTTGAGTTATTGCAATAATTATCGTTGAGCTATATTTTGTAAACTAAAACTAAAATTTTCTTTAAAAAAATTTAATGTCAGATTCTCAAAATTTTCAAATCTAAAAGTTCCAAAAAATAAAAATAAAAATGGTTTAAAATATTAGTGAGAATTAAATGTGCCAAAAACGAGAATTAAGGAGGGGTTGTTAGTGTATTAAATACAAACAAATGGCAATTTAATTCTGACTGCTACTCTGTCGGTATATTCACTGATTCAGTCCACGTATGCAAGCTTTTAATATTTGTTTACCTTTCTCACGTTTCTCTTATTTGGTTCTGTTTCCAATGCAAACGCTAACACACAATTAGTTCATATTCTCCAATCCCCAACAAACAATCAAACAACTCCCCCCCCCCCCTCAGAAACCCCCTCCCCACTTCCAACTGCCTCATATTTTTTTCGTCCTAATTAATGTGATAATATTTAATATTTAATATAAAATACATAATTTTTTTAAAATTTATACCCTAAATTAATATTTAAATATTACTACTACCACAAAATTATTTTATTAAGAAAAGAAGTAGCAGCGCGGTGCACAAGATATTATGCGTTCACGAATTTGAAGAAGTGGTAATATGGATAGTCTAACTTAATGCAAGCATTAATAGCTGCTTCTACGGCTCAAATTGGTAACTTGTAGGTCACACAAAAATAATTTTACCATTACTCTAAAGCTCCTTTTCAATTTTAAAAATTAATTTTAAGAAGACAATGAAAACTTTTAAAATTAATTTTTTCCAAAATATATGAAGATATTTTTCTTTTCGTCAGACAAAAAATGAAAATTTTCATTTAAATTGGGACTGACGGGATAAAATAAAACACATGGTGGGGTGGGGCAAACCAAAAAACCAAAGAAACAGAATTATCTTCTTGATCAAAAGCAAATAAGGCTTTTTCTGTTGAGTTTCTCTAGTTTTGAGTTGTTGGGTTCATTCTTCAATCTGGTTAGTCCCTTCTATCACCTCAATTCTCTTACTCTTCATTTCCCTTTGTTTTTATTTTGGAGTTTCATTGCTATGATTAGTTAGTACTGTAACACTTTTGTGCATAGAGGTACCAAGAAAAGAAAAGGGTATCACGATATCATCAAATTTATTTGAAAAAAATCTTAAATTTTCCTGTAGATAATTACTGTTATTGATGTTTAAAACTCGAAAGGAAGAAACTTTATATAGAAAACAAGGACTTGTTAGAGAATTATGTAAGAGAAGTTAAGTTTTAAAGAATATTATTATTCCATATTTAATAGTAGTTGAACTATGAAGAGCTGGATACAACTAATTTATTATTTATAGATCCATATACTTGACTATCAGAGGCGGAGAGCGAGTATTTCAAGTTTATGGGTTCGGGATTCTAATCGTTTTAAGCTACTCGGTTCTAAATTATTAATTTATATATATACAGTGAATTTTTTAAGACAGATACATGGTTCGAACCAAAGCTACGGGTTCAGCTGAACCCGCTCGGGCACTCTAGCTCCACCCCTGTTGACTATAACTAAATTTGGATTAAGGGATAATTTAATGATTCTTTGATTAGTTTGTATTTGTATACTCTTCAGAAGTATTATTTGAACTTGAATGATGAACCCTTTTGCTAAAAATCTTCTAGTTCAAGTTCATGTTTTGATATGATTATTGGTTTCTCTCCTACAAAGATTTGAGCTTTATTGGTCATGCATAAACTTTCTTAGTCGAGAGTCTCTCGGAAACAGCCTCTCTACCTTCACAAGATAGTGGTAAGGTCTGGGTACACACTATACCCTCTCCAGCCCCCACTTGTGGGATTACACTGGGATTGTTGTTGTCAGAGGCGGACCTATACAGGTTGAGGGGTCACCGGCACCCGGAAACTTCGGCAAAAACTCTATATGTACTTGCAAATGTCTTAAAAATAGTTAGATATTAGCATAGGCCCCCGTACCAATCTATATGAGCAGTAATAAATTTATATGAATGTCATGTTGCCCCCACGACCGTCGAATCCTGGGTTGTTGTTGTTGTTGGTAATGCATAAACATGGTCAGAAAGATTTTCCTCTTTACACTATTTTTACATTTCTTTGGGTCTTATGGATTTTGGTCTTTGATGAAAGTTTGTGTCTTTTTAGTTTCTGTAATAAGTATCTCTTGTTCCTTATGGTTTGTTATTAACTCCTTATCAAATGTTTGTGACTAATTCCCGGCTTTTGTTGCATTCTTATCTTGGTATCTGTTGATAACTTATATGTGTACATATGGGGTCTTTGGTTCTGTTGTTATCTATATTAGTACCATTTCAGAATTTCCCCATTCTTATTTGAGGTGGAGGTATAAAATTTACCATAGAAAATAAGAATTCATGCTATCTAAGCTCAGAAATATATACTGATTGTTGAATGCTTTTGGAATGTGATTAGTTGGGTGATTTTGTACAATCAATAGATTTACTTGTGTCATGCTTTGGGATTAATCTTGCGTGTCTCGTTGCATCATTGGAAGACTTGTGTTTTTCTGGTGCTTTTTAGGCCTCTCTTCTTGCTCTCTGTGTGTGTTTGTGTGTGTGTTTGCTTGTGTTTTGTGCAAACTTCTTGGTCACCTTCCCGGGTGGCTCCGTTCTTTAATATTGGAAGCCATGTTGACAAGAGTTAAGGTTATCGATTATATGTTTTAATCTAATTAGAGTTCCCCTTGCTTCATTATTTCGTCTGAGATCCCTTTTTATTGGTAGGCTAATTTATGATTTGTGTCCTCGTCTAATATTCTTTTACTTTGAGATATTACTTATGAAAAGCTCTTGTTTTCTTTGGTTTTTAATGTTTTACCAGTATTTGGTCGACATAAATCTTTCAGCTGTCCATAATGACTTTGTGCCTAATGTTATTCTTTTGATAACTGACTTGGCTTCTTATGTGTCCCAAAAAAAGGAAAAATGCCGGAGGGAATAACAGCTGAGAATCTTTTGAACAACATCGTGGAATCTCTTTCTGATGGTGGGCCGAAACATAAATCTACATCATTCTTTCAAGAGGAAGGTGCAAGCTCTGTTAGTACTCAATTCAATAGGCTATTTGGACGTCAGAAACCAATACACCATTGTTTGGGTGGAGGCAAATGTACGGTACTTTTATACATTCTTACCTTTTTATCTCATAATTACTGTATACTAATCCGTAATCTCTTTGGTGGATTTGTAGCTGCTGATGTGCTGTTGTGGAGAAACAAGAAAATCTCAGCCGGTATTTTAGCCAGTGCCACAGCCATCTGGGTACTATTTGAGTGGCTCAACTACAATTTTCTTTCACTTTTATGCTTTGCTCTGAGCATTGGTATGATCGCTCAGTTTCTTTGGAAAAATGCTTCTGGGGTAATAAACAGGTAGTATAACCTAGTTTAGCGTTCTGAAGCAACATCATTCTTTTCTTGTTCTCATTTGTCTTTTAGTTTGATATTCTTGAATCAAGTTAATGGAAGTTAAATTCTATGGCAACAGGTCGCAATCTAAGGTTCCTCGTCTTGTCTTACCTAATGACCTCTTCATCAATATTGCCACGGCAATAGGCGCTGAAATAAACCATGGGTTGGGCTTCCTTCAAGATGTTGCATGTGGTGGTGATCTGAAACAATTCTTACTGGTATGTTAGATATCACTAATCATTAATCTCTATGCTCAATTATTTCGAAACAGATAAGCTTAGAATAAGACGATACTTCCTTATTTCAATTTGAAGAATTTCCATAACAAAGTATCAAGTGCTTGATTTGAATTATGAGGCCTCTTTCAAGTCGATTTTTTAATATTTTGTTTACTTTAACTGTATCAAGTCATGGACCGCAAGGCATTAGAAGGGTGACATGTGCCTAGCCACATATCACGTGCTGCGCTCGTACCGCTAGACCAAAGTCCTGCAGGCAAAAAGGCCTTTTACTTTTCTCAACTCCCAAATGCTGCATAATATTTATAACATCCATTTTTTCCCCTCTCAACGACCTCAAAGCAAAACCAGTTAGCAAAACTCTGTTTCATAGTTTCTTTGCACATGTTTCTATTTTCAACAAGAATGATAAAACTTGCTCGCAAAGTCTCCCATCTGCTTTGCTTCTACTCAAACATTTTTCAGGTCTCCATGTCCATTTGATCTACCGCCTTCTAAAAATAATTGTACTGTACATATGTTTGTTTAATGCAGTGCAAGGTGCTGCTCTATCTGTTATTGTTTTATTTGAATAATTTTTCCCTTTTCAGCTCAATTATGAGATGCCAAGGCTTCTGTCTTTGTTTGTTCAACATCTGTGCTTGCTAGCTTATTTTCACGACCTCTTCTGACATTGTTGAATAATATCCATATGTGATGAGAAAATCGTAACGTCTGATTGTAAATCGGGGAAAGAGAATTAGCCGAAAAGGAAAAGCAGATTAACTAATATGGAATGTCTATTAAACTTGCTGCATGTAAATTGTTGAAGTTGCTCTGGTAGCTCAATTTTGTTGCAGCTTCTTGACATTCAACCCGACACCTTCCCCCCCCCCCCCCCCCCCCCCCAAAACGCCGTTACCTAACCTGCGCCTATCTTTTCGTTCTTCATTTTCTTTCTTGTCATGCCATATCTTTTTTCCCTTGTGTTCGGTTACAAGATTCTTCTATAATGACATCTTCTCCTTCCCTAGGATGTCAAGCATGCAAAACTAGACAAAATTAATGATAACAATTTAAATGACCACTGAATCTTGTGACTTAAAATTTCTGTTACTGTAAAATACTGTTGCTGAGTTCGAAACTAATGTCATCGGAGTTTTTCCTAGGTTGTAGTGAGCTTGTGGGCTGCTGGTATCATAGGAAGCTGGTGCAACTTCTTGACTGTTCTATATATTGGTAAGAGACCTCTCATTTCCACGATAGCAATTTAATAGTCACGTCCTATTATTTATGCTGTCTAACGTATGAGTATCAACGGAATCACCTCTAGATGCAAATATGCAGTTTATTTTCTCAGCATTTAGTTGTGTCCTATGATATCACCTTATGGCTTATACTTATTATCAGGCACTTATACGATTCCAAAAAGTAGAAATGAGTCCTTTGACTAGCTTTATTGGCTGACTTTTGAATGTCTGTGTTGTTAGTCTAACACAAACAGTCATATGTTTTAAAGTAACTCTATTTGTAGTGATTAGTTGTAAAGTTTTACTCGTACGGTTGAAATTACGACAACTATTGCTAGCTCAATCTCTAGCAAATTGGGGTTGGCGATATGAATCCAAGCTGACCATGTTACTCCATTCTAAGCTCATATCAGTCCAACAAAATAAAAAAAGAAATAGTACTAAAAGTTTTAAATTTTTTCTACTTCCATATAAATCTATGATCGAATTAAAAGACTCTTAGAAAGCTTAGGACCTAAAGTGAACGTACTAACATGATTATAACCTAATCCCAGCTAATTTGTATCACCCTGTTCAGTTGAAATCCAAAATATTGGATGTGTTTAACCTACTTTCAATCAAAAGAAAAGGAACTGGTTTTGGTCTATTCCGGTGATTGTATATTACTCGCGTTTGATATGCTTATTTTGTCTTGACTATACTTTGAATTTTGACTTGTGTATAAGGTTTCATTGCTGCCCACACGCTTCCAGTGCTATATGAAAGATATGAAGATGAAGTTGATGGTTTTGTCTATAATGCCCTCGAACAGCTTCGAGGCCATTACAAGAAGCTGGATTCTGGTGTCCTCAGCAAAATACCAAGAGGCAACTTCAGGGGAAAGAAGCTCGACTAGATCATAATGTTAGTAAATGTAATCGATCGATCTAGTTGAATGCCAGCTTGTATGCTGAGAATATGAAACTCATTTAATGCAACAAATTGCTGTATTTATGCTTAGGATTAATGGAGGTGACAAATTTAGTAAATTAAAAGAAAGAAAAGTGTGTTGAATATTTGCTTACCTTGTGTAAATGCTGCATGCACTTGATTGATATTATTGGCATTTGAAAATAAATTGAGTTTCTGCAGAAAGTTTAAATGGTACTCTTTTGAAGAACCTGCATGTGTGTATTGCCTTCTCTTCTTCTGGAAAACATGACTGCACAAGATGAGGCAAGATTGTATGAAATGGAAACCACGTGTATAGATATCGTCGTCTACATCCAAAAAGTCATATGCTTTGGAAGAAGCTTCATCTTTTTTTTTTTATTAATACACACAAGAGATTTAGAGGAGCGGAAGGGGTTCATCTGAACTCCTTTGCCATAAGGGATTGATCTGAAACCACGTGTATAAATATCATTATCAACATCCAGAAAGTCATATGCTTTGGAAAAAGTTTATAGGAGAGCTAGAGGAGCGGAAGGGGTTCATCCGAACTCCTTCGCCATAAGGGATTCATCCGAAACCACGTGTATAGATATCATCATCTACATCCAGAAAGCCAGAAAGAAAAAAGCTTCATCCTTTTTCATTAATACACACAGGAGAGCTAGAGAAGAGAAAGGGGTTCATCCGAACTCCTTCGCCAGAAAGTTACATCGTACTTACAGGGTTAATTCTTTTTATTTTATTTTTTATATATGTATATATAGTATATGACAAACCCTTTTGATGAAAATCCTATCTCCGACACAGAGTACACAATTTTGAATGCAGTCAACTCCCAAGAATTTAGGCCTAGATACATCTCTGTCAAATGGGTTTAAATCTTTTGTTTAAATGCCATTTATTTCTATGCTACATATAAGAGTAAACACTATCATACTGTCCAACACACTAAAGAAGGATTGACAGCAAATAGGGATGGCAATGAGGCGGTGCGGGTGCGGGGCAGGGCGGGTGCTTGTGAAGGAAAACCAAATATAGACATATCCAACTTAAAAAATTTGGCAAAGAATTATGTCACTTTACAATACTTGTTACGTTTCATAATCGGTAGAGTATGCCAATTAACCTAGGTGAAGTTGCACATTTTCCTGCCAAGTCGTGCGCACTCTATAATCTATATGTTAAATCAGAGGCGGATCCAGAATTTAAATTTTATAGGTTCAACCTTTAAGATTTTTTTTTATTAAACCCATTATATTTTCAAAGATAAGGGTTCGTATATACTATTTATTGTAACTTTAGTAAAATTTATACATTAATTTATGCTCCACATCAAAAGTTGTGGGTTCAGTTGAACTCGTCACCTTAATGCTACATATACCCCTGGTTCAAATTCCAATACAAAATTTGTAGATAGAATTGGATGGCAGACAATTCTTATTAATTCTGTTAGATCTGATTTTAATGATGCAAATAATGTATCTGTTCTATGTCCAGGAACTCACGGCTAGTATTCAAAGATTAAAGGAATCAATCAGAGAAGATCAAGGAGAGAAGATTAGGGAATCAACGGTTAGCTACAAGATGGAAGCAATCAATCAGGGAAATTAAGGAAAGCAATCTGAGATTAGAAAAGATCAAGGAACCAATGGACAACTACGAGATGGAAGGAATCAAAGGAAGCAATCAGAGAATTAGAGAAATCAATCAAAGCCAAGACGGAATAAATCAAGCCTAGACTTAAGGAATCAAATAAATCAAGCGTATCCAAATCTGGAAGGAGCGAGATTTTGGGAAGAAGAATCATTCAAGCCTCTCGTCAACATAACCGTTACTGTATGACCTTATTCTTGGAAACAGTCAATTCCTTTCCAAGGATCAAATCTCTTGGGTTGGCAAATCTATCCAGAAACCAAGCCTCTCTCAAAGTATTTAAACTTGTATCTGTACCCTAGAGCCATATACTTTGATCGAACCAAATCCATTCTCTTTATTCTACTGCAAACAAACATTGTAGCTCTACTAGATCTGCTGTGTAACAAGTTAGAGAAGAAAGAGAGAACAACACTGGTGAGGCATTATATCAAAAGACACGAGTGATATAGGAACTAAACTATTGGTGTAGATCACACTATTCTCTGTATTCTCGAAGAAACTCACTCACTGAAAAAGAACTCCCTTGCAACCCAAGGGGACTGGACTAGGATTCACATTGAATCCGAACCAGTATAAAAACTCAGGTGTCTTTAATTCCTGTATTTAATTTCTGCATTTTAAATTCTGTCTTTACTAGTATCAAGTTCTTATATCTAGTCGACTAATCGTAAAACTAGTCAACTGATAGCTATTAAGTTTAAAAAGAAATAATTCACCCCCCTTTTTGTACTTTCAAATTCTCTGCACAACTTTTATGCAGTTTAAACTATCATGCGTGTTAGCAGTGTCTGGCGATAATTAATTAGCTAGGCAGAAGACATTAGAATGTTAAGTGCTACCAAAATGTCCAATTCGTAAGTTCTTTCGAACATACCCATAGTATATTTATACAATTAGATCACTCAATATGAAATTATAGGCAACTCTTCATAATATATAAGATTTAATTGGTGATTATAAGTAATTTGTTATAAAATATTAAAATACTATTAGTATGTAGGTGTAATAGGAGCAAAGAGAGACATTCCATCACAAGTAATGAAAATCAAATTATATCAAGAGTTGTGATAGATGGACATGATCTCTCCACCTTTAATCAGAGGTGTCATGTTAGAGCTATGAGAATAAAAAATTTCTTGGTAGAGAACGCTTTACTTCTTAATAGACCTTACGCAGTACGAATTCAGATTAGTCAGGAGCCCAATGCGAAATATCACACACCAGATGAGAAACTAAAAAATAACGAGAATCTAAGTTATATCCACTAGAATCTTTTTGTTCACTTGGACAAGAACTAGTTAATTGGTGCCTAAATATGCATATATAGTTCTATTATTCTTATCAAAATATCTATATCTATCTATCTATCTATATTATTATAAAAGCATGAATACAATATCGGTTTATAAAAATAGCCTTATAATATTAAGTATAATAACTCATAATAAAAGGACACAATTGGAATAATACACAACATGGTGAAGCCTATATTTTTGGACATACTTCTTTACAAAAAACCTAAAAATACGTTAATCCATACCAAAAACCTAACTTGGTGGTTTCCTAAGGTATCGGTAAGTAAATTTAATTCTTATCAAGCAAGATCCGGTTGATCACTGCCTCCAAAATGCAAGGAAATTAGTATTGAAGAAAAGGCCATACAAGTGATGTGGAAGATTTTGTACAATCAAAGTTAGTTTTGAAAAACATCAAGCTTTAAGTAATATATTGCAAAGAGTTGACTCTGGTAGAGCGAAATTATTCTTTGTAGATGGCCATAGAAGAATTGAAAAAATATTTTTATATCGTGTATTACTTGCAAATGTAAGATCGATATAATAACGCTAGCAATAATAACAAGTAGAATAGCAACTCACTTTAGATTCGATATACCTCATCAAACAACTGAACACCACCGCAAATATATCAAAACGACACGGTGATGCCAAACTTATAAGGAAAGCAAGATTGATAATATGAGATGAAGAGCTTATGCTAGAGCGTCAGACGATCAAAATAATTAACAAGAGCTTTAGAGGTATAATAGATATCAGTGAACCATTTGGTGAAAAATTAATGAGGTTTTCAAGTAATTTCCGACAAGTAATATTAGCTTTTCCTAAATTGATGATAGCATAAGATATTAATGCTACATTGATACGATTATATTTATAGCATAAAAAATAAAAATAATTTAGCTAACAAGAAATATAAAAGAAGAACAAATCCAGTATTTAGTGACTTCTTGCTTTGTGTCGGACACGAAAAAGAATGTTGATACCCAATTTTTCCCTCATAAGTTTTAAAATATGCATGTACACTTTTAAAATATTGTACATGCATTTACAAACATGCACAAGTATTTTTATAATTTTTTCTACAATTTTTAAAGGCCCTAAATCTATTTATTTCTGTATTTTTTAATCACATAAATGTTCAAAACTATCCCTCATATTATTTTCTGATGATTTAATCATCTAAATTCATCATTTATGTCCATATGAGTGTTCAAATATTTTAATTGTATTTTTTATAATTACATTTGCATTTTTAAGACTATAATTGCATATTTTGCAAAAATAGCCCCTACATATGCATAACTACGTTATCTACACAAAAAATGACTTTTTATATTTTTATAATATTTAGAAATTATTATAAATCACCTTCATGCATGAAAATAATTTTTTATCATTTAATTAGCTATTTTTAAAATATTTTATTTAGTAAAAATGGGTACTTAACAAATAACCCTAATTTATACCCAAAATCGGATCTCCCCCAGTCCAATTTAATCAAACCCAAGCCCAATTCAAATCAAACCTAACTCAATTAAATCCAACCCGACCCAGACCCCTTCTAATCCTGGCCGTTGATCTCTGAGATCAAAGGCCCCATTCCCTCTTACCATTTTTAATCCAAATGACCCCCTACCCCTAGCCATTTGTTAAACCCCGCCACCCTTGAATCCCTTATCTCCTCTATTCTCTCTGAGACTAACCCTAGCGCCGTCACCTAAATCTACCCCAAATCCCTTCGATTCTTACCTATTCCATGAGATTCCCCGGTGATTTGAGGCCCCTACCGGCCGGTTACATCTTTAGGTGTTTCGAATTCGTCGATTTATGAGAGAATCTCAAAGATATTCAACCAAGTTTCGTCGAAATCTGACTCACAGGCCTGTCTTATGGCCGTCTTCGTTTGTGAGTACTATTATCTCGTGTTTATGGCTCAAATCTCTGGTTCCAAATCGGATTTTCTTTTATCTCTGTCACTTTCTTAAAACCCTCAACTCTTATACTTTGAATCTGTTCAGATCCTTGAAGATCTAAAACGTTTTCGAGTTTAGACGCTATCTTTCCTTAAAATTTTTCTGTTCTCTTTATCATCGACTGATTTTAATGTTCCTCCAAATTAGGGTTTTGGATTCTTTATTATTTGCTGTAGATTTGAAGTGGTTTCGAGTTTCTATAGCATTATTCTTAAAGGTTTTCTACTTTCCCTACGGTTAATCGATCCTAAATGTTTCTCTAAAACTAGGGCTC